TCCTTCCTTCCTTCCTTCCTTCCTTCCTTCCTTCCTTCCTTCCTTCCTTCCTTCCTTCCTTCTTTCTTTGCTTCTGTTTTTTGGAGACTCTGTGTAGCTCTAGCTATCCTGGAACTAGCTCCGTAGACCAGGCTGGCCTCAAACTCACAGAGGCCTCAGCCTCCAGAGTGCTGGTATTAAAGGCGGGGGCCACCACCACTCAGCTGCCCAGTTGCTTCATAAACAGACCTTTCTTCTCCAGTTCACATAGCCCTGACATAGAGCAGGAGGCAGTATGTGCAAATGGACAACACAGTGGTCCTCTCGGGATGTGCTAACACTAAGAAGGGACGGCCAGCTAACCCAGCCTCAACCTGGACATTCTCCCAGGATGCTGACCCTCCGGGATGGCCGGAACTCTTCCGTTAGGCAGGCCTCTCCGTTGGTGGTGCTGGGGACTATTTCCCAGGAGAACTGACCCCACGCTGGTGGCACTGGCAGGGCTCCTTCCTTCCGGAAGCCCCATTCCAGAGTCAGGCTGGCCCCAAAGCCGTGGACCACCCCAGGTACAGAGCCCCTCACCTGCTTCACAAGTAGACCACAGAGGCCCACTGCAGCATGGAAGGCCCCATCACTGCAACAGGGGTGGTCCAGGAGCCAGCTGTGCACTCACAGATCTAGAGCACAGCCTCAACCCTCGACCCAGCGGCCACACACTGTCCATCATGTCCTATGGGCAACCATGTGAGCCCCTAGGTCGTTTAGCCTGAATCTGGTTCCCCACCAGCGGGAAGAAGTCAAGGACACAGCCCTTGTGGGGTTCCTGGGATGGTAAAGGACTTTGGCTTGGGTGCTGTCCAACCTCTCTGGAGGCCGTATTAGGTGGGGCTACGTCCAATTCACAACTGTAAATGAGGAACTGTGTAAGTTTGAGGCCTTTTTGGTCTCCACAGAGTTTCAGGAAAGTCAGGGCTTCACAGACACACACACACACACACACACAGACACACAGACACACACACACAGACACACAGACACACACACACAGACACACACACACACAGAGTTGCAGGAGTTGGCACAGCTTGCTGGACCAGGAAGTCTAAAAGGTAACGAGGCATCTGGAAGGAAGGAAAGGACCTGACTTCTCACCACTATGGCCTGTATTTACAACTGTCAAAACTGGAGACCTGCATGAAGACCCTGGGGGGCTGGGGTAGGAGACCATCTTTGCTCTTGGATGCCTTAAAAACGTGTATGAGGGTTTGCCTACATGTATGTGTACCATGTGTTCCTGGTGATCACAAGGGCCAGAACAGGGTGCTGGATCCCCAGGAACTGGAGTTACTGATGGTTGGGAGCCACTATGTGGGTGCTGAGAACCAAACCCAGGGCCTCTGCAAACGCAACACAATGCTCTTGACCTCTGAGCCACCTCCCAGGAGGACCTAGTTTTGAGAGGCTCCTGGTTCACACAGTGGAATGATGACTCCAGTCGGAGCAAGGGGACAGTGTCTCACCTGCTGTGTGACGTCCTTCCCACTAGGAGTCTGCATGCTGCTGAATGCCACTGAAGGTGAGAGCCACGAAGGGGTGCCGAGGCTAGACCGCCTCATGCAGCCGCATCTAACCAGCACACACTCCTGGGTTTACAGTTCACAGTAGAGGAAGGAGAGCAGCCCATAGGGCATTAATGTAAGCCCTGAGGACCCTCACCTGCCCTTGGGGTGGTGCTGTGACCCAACAGTCTCTGGCTGACTTAACCATGATCACCTTCACAGCACCGATGTGGCTTTCACAAAATTGTGCCCCTGGGCCCATGGTGCACCAAGCTGGCCTACTGAATGGAACTGGTTGTTGTGACACAGAGGATTAAGGGGGGAAAGCCCTTACAGAAAGTTAGGGCAGCGGGCACAAACAGGCAGACTCGGGATCAGGAACTCACAAAGCCACAGCAGGTTTAGAACAAAGGAAAGTCAGAAACTTCCTCACTTTTATTAAGTTAGAAAACTACTAAAAGCAACACCTAGGCTCACCGTGGCTAGCACCTCTGTGCTGTGCAGTAATTAGTCCCGATGGCGTAGTCCACAGGCCACACCCTGAAAGTCTCCAACATCGGTGATCAGGTGTAGAGTAGAAAGTGAGCTGGAGCACGGATGAGGGCCGGTCTGAGCCTAGGTCTCATCAGGAAGTAGACTTTGGGCTCCTTCCCGGAGCACATTCATGGGGAGCCCCGCCCTGAAGTCCTACCCTCTAATCCGCACCCACAGCATCAGGACCAGGCTGAGCTGTGAGGACTTGAGCGCTGGCCACACTGGTCTGTGTCATGGCTCCACTTCTGCCAATGGCAGAACCCACTCTGCATGCTCCATCCTGACACAGCAACGGCCTGGGAAGCCACCGGCTGGGCACCCTGCCCACTCTGTGCCAGACACAGGAGTGCCTGTCATCCTCCCTACACCGGGCTAGCCAGACAAGGGAGGAGACTGGCGTCAACAGTGGCATCAGAAGGCCTCTGCGAACCTCCTGCAGGGGACACTGGTGAGGAACCCTTGAGAAACACATTTGGGAAGTGTCTTCGGATCCTTCTTTCGGAGCTCAAGGAACAAACAGGCAGGATGCAGGCTGGCAGCTGGTGCCAGAGGGTAGCAGGTGTGACAGGAGCCTGTCACTAGACCCCACACTGACAGAAATCCAATCTCTGTGGGAGCTGCAGTGGCCATGGGTCCCTCTGCTACACTGGGCTCAGGACTGCCCTGTCTCGGGGGCAGCTGGGTCTCCAGAGAAGGAGCCCAGCACTACTGGCAGGTATATCCTACTGATCTTCTATGGCTCCAAGGAGGGCAGGCAATAGGCTCCACCAGCTCCCTGGGGCCTAGAGTCCTGCTGGGGGACCCTCAGCAGTGTCTGATGGGTCACCAATACCCATCCTACATCCATGGCAGCTTCCTGGAACTCCCCCCTTAGAGGGACAGGCTAGTGCTTGGCAATGGGCACAGAGGAAAATTCCCCTTGGCCTTGGGGGTCTGGTGCCATCTGCTGAAAAAGCCTGTGGGTGCCATCAGAGGGTGGGCTGCCCTGTGGGTTTCTGTCCCTTATACAATGTCCTCAGTTGCACTCTGCTCCCTGATGTCCAGGACACTATGGAACAACATTGCCACCTCCCGCAGGCAGCCCGGCAGTCAAAGGCTGTGCTGCTGGTGCCAAGGGACCCCTGCTGTTCCCCTGCCAGCCCTTGTCAGGCCTGTCTGACAGAGGTGACCTCAAGGCTTTGCATGAATGACACCCCCCAGCCCAGAGTTCCTGGTGACAGCCCATGCCTCCGGAACCTTCTCTCCACACAAGCCGCTGGCAGCTTACGAAGCCCGAGCACAGATGTTGTCGGAGATCTTCACTCTTCTGCCTAAAGCTCAGGACAGCCTGAGCCGCTGCTGCCCGGAGATGGTGCTGTCAGCTTCCGGCCCAGGTGGGAAGAACCACGCAGCCTGTGGAAGAAACACAGGGAGAAGATGAATGGCCACACTGCTCTGTCCCAGCCTGGCTAGATTCAAGAGCCCTCAGGGCTAGGACTCAGGCCCTGACACCTTACTACCCAGGGCAGATAAGGCTCTGTTGTTGTGCATCCCAGTGCGGCCAGCCCTGCACAGTTCAGGAACCAGAGACACCTCTGCCAGCCAGGGGGAGCCACATACTCATCCGTCACTTCGCTCCCTGCCTCACACGGGAGACCCAGGAGCAAATGCCGCTATGGTCCCTTGGCATCATCTTCCCTGGAGGAACTGCAGACTTACACAAACAATTGCATGGTGGTTGCACTGGGAAACGCTGGAGACAAAAAGGAACTTCTAACATTGAGTTAACAGCCAGGACCTTTATTTTGTTCGGGTGTGGAGTTCGGGAAGGAGAACCTGATGGGGGGACAGCAGTTGGCTGGAGGGGGAGATCAGAAGGAACACGGCGGTCCTAAGAGAAAATGTGGTACTTTAAGAATGTAAAGGAAAGTGGGCCAGTGGGCCAGGCACGGGAGACAGATATAGTCTGTGACCTGGGAGGAAGGCAGGAGTGATGAAGGGCAGGTGACCTGCTCTGGACAAGAGGCATGCTCTTTTGTGACCTGAACAAAAATCCACCACAGCTTCTAGTTGCCAGGCCATGAGACAGGCTATGGGGACGTAGTGGTGAACAGGCAGGACTGTCCTTGGGGCCATGAAGCTCAGATCCCCTGCTGCATCCTCAGTCATTTGGAGCATCAGTGGTTGCCCTGGAAATGAAGACGGTGGATGTCTACCTGCCCAGAGAAGGATCCAGGAACCAGACCCCTTGCTGAAGGCTTCATGAAGAATGTTCCTGAAGCAAGAAGGAAACGCTGATTTATTACATGTGTGATCACTGCTACAGCTGAACCCCAGTGGCATCCCCACCAAATCCTAGGCCAGCCCTGAGGAGGGTGCGGCTGAGCATTTGAGTCAGGAAATGGCGGCCAGGCTATGACTCCTGAGCTGATGGAGTTGGGACCCTCTGTAAGACACAGCAGAGAAACTGGAGTGGGAGAGAGAGGAACCGAAGGAAGCAAGAGAGAGGAGGGAAAGCCACAGATCCTGTTTCCCAGGCATCCCAGAAATCCACGCGGTTCCAGTGGCAGCCAGGGCTGGACATACCAGAGTTACCAGGTGGCCCTAAGGCAGGGAGGAGCAGCTGTGAAGGAAGAACAGACTCTGTCCCCATCTCTGAAGGGCTAGAGGTGCCCATGAACTCACAGGCTCTGTGCTGAGCTGTGTCCTCCTCATACAGGCATTGCAGGAAGCAAAACCGGTCAGGAAGCGTGGCGGTTTAGGGTTAGAACTATGGAACCTGTACACTGGTGTGAGCTGTACAGATGTGAAACCCCAGCACAAGGAACTTTTCTTTAGTTCTGTGTGTTTACAAAAACATCAGAGCAAAAACACGTGCCAGTGCTGGAGCTCCGTGGACGTTACGCCCTTATCACTGCTACACTTCCTAGAGGCAGGCCGGGGCTGAGCCATAGGAAGTCCGCCATCTCCAGAGGTCCTGAATCTCCTAGACACTGGCAGGGCAGGAAGGCTGCTGCTCTTCCAGTACTATCCTGAGGCCCCTAACAGTCCTAAGATACTCTAAGATAGCCAGTCTGAACATCCCAGGGGCACGTCCTCAGATACTGTAAGATAGCCAATCTGAACATCCCAGGGGCACAGACTGCCAGCCCACTTTATCTCGCCGCAATACTACTACAATTAAATAACCAGAGCAAGGACGGAGGCTTCCTACCAGCTTCGGAAGACAGGCCTAGCTGGCAGGAGAAGGCCACAGAGAGGGACGATGTGAATGCCAGGGCCCACCCCAGACAGCATCCTAAATGCTGAAATGTGTCCCTCAAAACCAGGGTGAGGGCCCCTAACTATGAGCAAAGGATGGTGGGAGCCGCCCTCTGTGGTGGCTGTGATGGCTCCAGCCAGACCAGTGACCGTCCTCTGGCTCACCCCACGGTCTTAGTCTATGCCCCTAATTCTGTCAGTTTCCTCTCGGGAGCCTGGTTTTCTCATCTGTGCAGTACAATCAATCCTCCAGCCAGCTGCAAAGAGGATCCAGCTGCAGATGACAAGTGTTCTTTCAACCCGTGATGTCATTTTTTCATTCTCAGGTCTCACAGAGGCACAAGTGACCACGGCCTGAAGGACAGACATCCCAAGGCACTCTCCCGCCAGCTAGGCCGGCCCACAGAAGCTGGAGGAAGCCCTCAGTCCTGCTCTGGGTGGTTCTTTGTAGTAGCAGTAAGGCAGGATAAAGTGGACCAGCTGTCTGCAGCAATGAGGGGCTGGAGGAAGAACATGGGAGGCTGGGCCTTACTTACGAAAGTAGTTTTGAGGGGGGCTCAGAGGGAAAGAAAAGGACAAAAGGATGTGTCCAGAGTGGGGCAACAGGAAATCATAGGGTAGTAAGCAGGGACTTCAGGGGCCCGCTGCAGCGGCCCCTGGAACTGCCCTGGAGCCTATAAGGATGGCAGAGTAGATCTATAGAAACCAGGCACAAGTGGAACTCCCAGGGGACCAGGGATGGTGGACCTGGCCAGGACCTTCCTACTGGTTACCTGGCAGACGAGGCTGGATCAGCAGGGCCAGAGTCATCGGAAGGGGACCTGGGTGAGGTGCCAGGCTGGGCATCCCAGGACAGCTTATTGGTTCGTGCCATGGTCGCTGGGGGGAATGTCATGGAGGTAGCAGGCATGCTGTGTTTGGGCCCCTTCTGGCCTTGACCATTAAGGTGCTTGGCCCTCTTCTATCCTGGGCTCCTCACCTCCCACACCATAGGCCCTGGTCTGTAGCTGAGTTTCATCCACATGCCATGGGGACTAAGGGCGGAGAGGGCTCCCAGTGCCCAGGGAGTGCCCAGCCTGTCCTGCATTATCAGCTTCTTGCCCTGCTGATGTGTTGTGGGTCTCGTCTTTAAAGAGAGCCCAGAGACTATGACCTGTGGAAACAAGCTGACAAGAGGAGGGGCCTGCAGAGAGCAGGAACACTTCGGGGTCTGTCCTGGGGACAGAGGCCAGGAGGGGCTGTCCTGATGGAGGAGAGGCTGCTGGTGTGGCCAGACTGCTGTGGTCCCCCAGAAAGTGAAAGCTGAAGTCTAGGAGCAAACCTGAACTCTCAGCAGGTGCTCAGGAAGCCTAAGGCCGTGGGGACACTTACCACCACCGTGGGGACGCGTGCTACCCGAATCTGGGGCTGACTGGGTATGAGCAACCGCCCTCTCTGTGCCCACTTCATCATCTAAAGCAGGCTAGTGACAAAAGCTTGTCCAGGACTCGGGACACAGTCACAGGAGTGACAACTGTAGGGATGGGCCAGGAACATAAAAGGACCTCACAGCCCACAGCATCCGAGAACTGTGTGACGATTTCCAGTCCCTTTGCCCAGACGAGAACGCTGAGACTCTTGAAGTTAAGCCAACAGGGTGTCGGCGGCAAGAGGCCATGTGAGCTTTATCTAAAGCAGACAGCTCCTGAAAACATGACCAGGTTCAGCCCAGCCGCCCCTCCCACAGGGCAGAGCCTCTGCTGGGGAGGGTAAGGCACCCGCCCCCACTTCCTGAGGCAAATAGGGACACAGGCATGAGGAGCCTCTGCCCCGCAGGTGACTCCGCCCCTCGGGTGAAGCAGCACTCCCAAGTCACCAGTGGCAGGAAGAGTCCATAGCACTGGAATGACAACATCCCTTTGAAGCTTGTTCCCCTACCCCCAACCCACCTCCACCCCCTGGGGGGCGGCACCCAGACACTTGCCAGTCACCCACCCCCACCCCCCACCCCCCCCACCCACCCCCACCCCCCGAGTAAGGGAGCTAAGGGAGCAGATGAAAACAAAACAAGCCCAAAAGTCTTCAAGAGAAAAGAGTCCTGTTCCAAGTGCTGCCAGGAGCCAGCCGCTCCATGCTTACAGATCTGAGGTCTGCGGGCCCTTCAGGAGCCTTGGAGGCTCAGCAGGATCTGACTTAGCGTGAACTCGGCTCAGTCCACAAGCATCCCTGTCTCGCTGTGAGGTAGCACCCACAGGCTCACTGAGGCTCAGGACGCTTCCTGACTGGGTCCCTTAATGCCACAGGGGCACAAGACAGGAGGCCAGCTGAGTGGAGGACGGGAGGTTCCTCTTCCAAGGCCTCCTTTTCTTGCTTTCAGTAGACCAACGCCCGCCTCCCCATCTCAGCCCATGGGAGTCCACCCCCGACTCTTGACCCCTGTAAAGACTTTGAACTGGGGCAAGGGACAAGGGCCAGTACTTTGCTAGGACCCGGCCATAAAAGCTCAGGCTCCCACAAGCCAACCTTGGCAGCCCCTCCCAAGAAGCCCCTAGCAGGCTGGTCTGGCACCCTCCTCCTGCCTGCAAAGGGCAGCACAGGGGGAGACCGCCCTCTGCCGTTCCCTCCGGTCCCCAGGCTCTCAGAGTCTCTCCCATGCCGCAGCACCCCAGGGAGCACCTGGTGAGTCCCTTGGCTCTCCTCCAGCCAGGCTCTGGTTTCCCTGTGCCTTCACACACTCACGGTACTGAGAAGAGCGGCAGAGCTCACAGAACGGAGGCCTACTTCACAGGAGGCCTTCCTTCATCCCTTTAGCTCACACAGCAGGCAGATACCCCCGCCTCCCACTAGCAAGCCCCTAACTGTGCCAGAAGAGTTAGGATATGAACGGGCTGCCTGTCCCTAAATCCCATTATCCTGCTGACCCTCCCCAGGAGATGCAGCAACCCATTACCCCGACGGGCCAGTGGGGTCATGGTTCCTCTGCCCTCCTCACCTGGCTGGGCTCCGGAGGTGCCCCTCACGCAGGCAGGTGTTTCCAGGTGCTGACAAAGGCCGTGGGGATGAGAGAGTAAGGCACGGTGGTGATGCAGTTCCACGTGTCTGAAGTGGGGTCGTAGCAGTCCAGGGTCTTACACCTCTGCGTCCCAAAGTAGCCTCCCACGACATACAGCTTGTTGCCCGAAGCCAGGGCATGACAGGACATGCGCTTGGCCGTCATGTCCCCAATCCGAGTCCACTGGTTGGTCTCACAGTCGAAGCGATAGGCTGAGGCTGCTGTGTACTCCGTATCACCTCCCATGATGAAGATCTGGCTGCCCAGGACAGCGGCGGCCGTGTATCGCCAAGGCTGGGGACACTCCGCCTTGATTGTCCACCGGTTCTCGGAGGGGTCAAAACACTGGACTTTGGACACCATGTCCCGGTGGATGCTGGTCCCTCCGAACACAAAGAGCTTCAGCTTGGCGCTCACCACGGCGGCGTTGCTGACACCGTCTCTCATCGGGGCCACCATAGTCCACTTATTGGCCACGGGGTCATATTTCTCTACTTGTTTCAGGGAGACAGAAGGAGAGGCAGGGAAAATGCCTGCTAGAGATGTGTGTCCCCCCACCACATAGAGGCAGTTCTCCAGCTCAGCCGAGCCATGGCCAAAGCGGGCAATCAGCATGGGGGCCGCCTTGGACCACTCCTCGTGGACAGTGTCATATACCCAGACATCCTTGGAGACCCCATTCTCAGAGCCCCTGCCTCCCGTCACATAGACCTTGCAACCAATCGCCGAGGCGCTGAACTCCTTCCGGGGGCTTGGCAGATCCGCCTTGGGGATGATCTCCTTGGCTTTGTGGTCCACCTGGTAGATCTTGTCGCACATGAAGGTCTGGCCCCCCAGGATGAGCAGCGTGTGGCCGGCCTTCCGTGGCCGGGCAAAGGGACTGGTGACCACGCCGTCGTTCTGCAAGATCTTGGTCTTGCAGCGGAAGGCCTCATCGATGATGAGCTTGGTGCGCTCGTCCCCCATGAGGAGGGTCTCCCCGGACACGGCCTCCTTCAGGCAGTCCGAGGGCAGCAGGGCCAGCCTCACGCTGCGCAGGAGCAGCGGCAGGTGAGCCTTCCTCTGCTCCAGGTCATGCTTCACCCACTGCAGGATGGCCTCAAAGACCACACGCTCGTCCTCCGTCTCCAGCTCGTCGCTCGAGATGAGGTCCAGCAGCGTGTCCTTCGACAGACTGTTGAAGTCCTCGCTCTGCCGCACCGTCTCAAAGTGCACCAGGCACATGCGGCAGGAGAACTCGTAGAGCCGCCGGCACTGGTGGGCATCGGACAGCAGCATCATGCCCAGGCAGTTGGAGGGGGAGAGGTTCTTCTCGAGGAACTCGGCTGCCGCATCCCGGACGTCGTGGAACTGCAGCATGTCACCGGCCTCCAGCAGCGACTCTGCATTCTCCTCGTTGATGACGATGCGCGAGGAGTAGGCGAAGTCCAGCAGCAGCTCCAGCACCTCGGGGTGCAGGTTGTCCTGGAAGTTGACCGTATCATCCCGGCTCTCCCGCAGGCCGTGGCTGAACATGGCCTCAAAGTATCGGCTGGAGGCCGCCAGCACTGCCCGGTGGCAGGGGAAGGCGCGGTCACCAGCCCAGAGCGTGACATCGGTGAACATGCGGTGCTTACGCAGTGTGTTGAGGTGGGCCAGCACGCAGTCAGGGTGCGAGGCCTTGTGGAAGAGGGAGATGTTCATGGAGCCTGTGCTGCCCCGCGACTTGCGGGTCTCGTGAACACTGACGGACATGGTGCACCGGCCTGCGGGGAGAATGACACCCGTCAGAGCGAAGCTCACGCCCACGGGCCCTCTGCGTCCCCTTCACGCTCAATTCCAAATGCCCCACTCTCTCCCTCCCCTCCTCTGCCCAGCCCTAGGGAACCAAGTCTGCCTTCCTGCATCCCCAAAGATACTGCAGGCAAGAAAGCCCTGGGCCTCACCCTGTCCTGCAGCGACCAGCTTTGTTCTGCCAGGACTAGGCCTGAGACACACACCTCTGGTTGCAGTGGTACCTGAGCACTCAATCTCATCTCGGGATCTACAATACATACACACACACACACACACACACACACACACACACACACACACACAAAAAAAAAAAAAAAAAAAGGGTATTGAGCTCCAGGTACTGGCATGCCTGGCAACATGACCCTGAATAAAGTTCCAAACTCCTTAATGGCATTGGTTAGGAACAGGGACCCTGAAGACATCTCAGCCACTACTGTGTAGCCTTGGGAAAATTAACTTACCTTGAGGCATTTTCCCTCAACAATAAAGTACCAATAAAAACAGTGGCACTTTGCAGTGCTTCGAAGTTCCATGAGAAGAACACACTTGCACTCACAACAGCCCAGGCTTCCCCATTTACTCAGCCAGCTGTCACTACACTGTCCTGAATGAACCATCGGGCAGGCGTTCTGATCTGCGTTGGTTTTTTTTTTTTTTTTTAAGATTTATTTATTTATTATGTATACAGGAGATGATGCCAGGTCTCATTACAGATGGGTGTGAGTCACCATGTGGGTGCTGGGAATTGAACTCAGGACCTCTGGAAGAGCAGTCAGTGCTCTTAACCTCTGAGCCATCTCTCCAGCCCCACTGTGTTGGTTTTGTTGTTGTTGTTGTTGTTTGTTCGATTTTGGTGGTTTGAGACAAGGCCTCTCCATGTAGCCCTGCTATGTCCAGGCACTCCCTCTATAGAGCGGTCTGACCTCAAACTCAGAGACCTGCCAGCCTCTGCCTCCCCAGTGCTAGTATGAAAGGACTGCTCCCACTCCTGGCAAGTCTGAGTTTTTAATGACTGTACTAGTTTTATATTAAAGCCATGTAGAAGGTTCTGGTCGAGTGTGCTGGGTGTGGGTCACTCCTGGAACTGCAGTGAAGGACATCAGGGCTGAGGTACTGGAGGTATGCCCAGGCAGTGTTGCTCAGCACGGACACCTTGCCAGTCCCACAGAAAGTTCCAGGGGTGGAGGTCAATGTGTGGCACACACTTAGAACCCTCACTAAGCAGATACATTTAACTGGGCATAAAGCATGAGTCCTGTGACTACACCAGCGCCATAGACCATTCTAGACACAAGCAGATGAGCAGACCCACTGGGCCTCACGCAGACACGCCCACCTTCAACCCCTTTATACACACTTATAACACATACTATCACAAGGGCGGGGCCTCAGTGTACCCAGTGCTTGCCCAACTCCCACAAGACCCTGGTTTACACCCCCACACCACAAAATCAAGACTCCTTCCCCTGCAAATAAAGGCCCTAGCCTGCTTTATGTTTAGAAATGCAAATGAAGGCTGGAGAGAGGACTCAGCAGTTAAAACCACTGGCTGCTCTTTCAGAGAACTTGAGTTTGATTCCCAATACCCGCAAGGGAGCTCACAACCTTGTGTAAACTGCAGTCCCGGGGATCTGATGCCCTCTGGCAGCCTCCGTGAGAGAAAACTGGACACAGACATAATGCACACAGCAAAACACCCACACAGCTCAGCAGTTAAGAGCAGTGTGCTGTTCCTCCAGAGGACCGGAATTCAGTTCCCGCATTCGTATCAGGTCGCTCCAGTGTCAGAGGGATCCAACGCACACATGGCACACTCATGTACATTTTAAAAAGAAGAAAAGAGCTGCCTTTCTTGCTGGGTACTATGGTACATGCCTTTAATCCCAGCACTTGGAAGGCAGAGGCAGGCGGAACTGGAGCTCTGTGAGTGAGGCCAGCCTGGTTGGTCTACATAAGAGATCCAGGACAGCCAGGGTGACATAGAAACTACATAGAAACCCTGTCTCAAAAAAGTGAAGAATAAAAACAGAATCAATTAAAATTCAATTGATCAGAGTGTTTATATTTTGACTATATACACATTTTATTTTGGTTTTCTTTTCAATTGTTGTTTGTGTTTTTTGAGACCAGGCTGGCCTTGAACTCAGAGGCCTCTGCTTACTCAGAAGTCAGCTTGCCTCTGCTTCCTGAGTACTGAGATCAAAAGCCTGCACCATCATGCTACGTTCTCAGCATATTTTTATAAGAGAATTTGTTTGCTTTCGAGACAGAGTCTCACTCAGCGTCTTCGGTGGTGGCCTCCTGAAGGCTGAATCACAGGCACAAGTCACAACTGGCTCTTGTGGAAAGCCGGAAGTGAAGTCCTCAGAGTAAGAGGGAGATGTGCCCATGCCTCAGTTGGCTTCATGGCTCTGAGCTCACACATCCTGGCCCACACCTGCCCCACAGGAATAGGCTGACACAGGCATGTATGTAGCATGGACTGAGGAGCAGTGTTTGGTAATACATCTATTTCCTTTTCAGGTCACCAAATGTGCCTACCTCGAGTTTCGCACAAAGGGCCGCATAGCAAGCTAACACTCACACCTGAGCTCACACCAACAGGGCAGAATAGACCTGCTTGCAGAACCTATAACACATGCTGGTGGACAGCCCAGCTTCTGCTACTGAGGTCAAGATCAACTGTGCTGTGGTACCATGGCCTTGGCATGCCCCTGACATCATTCCCCCATATTAGTCAGTGAGGTCACACAGGTGAGCCCTACACACTACCTCCCACCCCAACGTCCCTTCCCAGAACTTGGGAAGTGAAGGCAGACAGGAACTGCCCTGTGATAGGTAAATGATGACAGCCTGTCATTTTCAAGACAGGGTCTCCCTGTGTAGCCCAGGCTAGCCTCAAACTTGCAATCCTCACCCTTCCAGGTGCTGAGATAACAAGAATGTGAAACCACACCCTGCCTCACCCCAAACCTCCTCACTTAGCACCCACCAACGCCAATGCTATGCCTATTTGAGGAAGGATGGCCACGTCAGCCTCCATAATTGATAGTTCCAGGCTGGCTGCAATTGAGACTGGGCAGGCTCGCACACTGGTGGATGCCATCAAATGCTTTCTCCACTACAGTGGGGAAGCCTGGAACAAGTCAGACTGTGGACCTTGCTGGGCCTTACCCAGGGCAGCAGCTCTGCCTTCTCAGGGGCGGTACAGAGCAGGAGGGAAAAGGTCAAGTCCTGTGAAATCCAACTGAGAATAAGGCAATCCTGCAAAGGATCCGCAGGGAATTCTGGTCAGGCAGGGGCCAACTTGTAACTGCCAAGTGGCCAGGGCAGTTGTGCTTA